GCAAGGAGGAAGAGGAAGGGGGACTGGAAAAGTAAGGGGAAGCAAGGGGGTGATAGTGGGGTACCAAAAATTACGTTTGCAGGTTAGGGGGCTGATCTAGGCTCCTGGGGGGCGAGGGAGACCAGGACGTTGCATATGTGGGGGGGAGAGATGGAGAGGGGGGCATTTCCCCCCCAAAAGAGGAAAGGAACCCAGATTGCAAATCTCCCCCCAAACACACACACACAGCCTCCCTTCAGTCAAGGCTGGCCTTTCCCTTCTTCTGGGTCCCCTCCAACAAAGGCACAAACAGGCCAAGGCCAACGAGGGAGGGGCCCTGATCCCAGGCTGTGGTTGAAGGGGCTCAGCGTCTGGTTGGGGGGCGAGGCAGTGTCCAGCGGGGGGGGGAAGGAGTTGAGATCAGGACAGCACATATGAGGAACTAAGCGGGTGAGACGTGTCAGGCAAGGATTCTTTAAAACAAACCTTTTCGTGCTGGGGGGGAGTTCTTTCAACCTCCCTCAGGGTCTGCCAGGCTTCGGCACCTGTGAGAGTTAATGCATTTTGGGTGGCAACTCTTTCTGCAACCGGCTGGCACGTTTGGGGGGAGAAATGACAGGACGAAGCTATTGTGGTGAAGAGAAACCTTTCCAGGTCACCAGAGTTGTTCGTTCTGACTGGGCGATTTCTGTAGCTCAAGGGAAGCTGTTGAGTTCCTTGCCTTCAGAACAGGCTGAAGTTACTGATGGGCAGCCGGAGCCTGCTGAGGTTGTAAACTCAGAAAGTGGGGTGGGTGCCGTCTGCTCAGGCAGAGGTTTTTGCCCCTTCTCGAGCCAGGTCATTTCCCCAGATGTTTCTGCTGGGTGCAGAAAAGTGACCTCCTCTCTGCCGTCTCAGAGGGACCCGGCTGACTCTGGTTTGCCTCCCCCCCCAGTGAAACCTCTGGGGTTGTCTTGGGCTGCAAAGGGACTTTCGTACGGGCCATTTGGCCAGGAATCCCGTTTGGATTTGGAGCAGAAGCATCAGCTTGTCGTCCCAAAGCCTCCCCTAAAAAAAGCTTTTTTGCGTTAGCCCACGCTGCTGCTTTTTCTGGCCACGTTCACCTCCAAAGGACCTTGAGTAGAATTATTGCTCATATCTACTGGCGCAGTGTTTCAAAATCAGTCAGACGTAATTGTTGCGGCTGTCCTGTTTGTCAGAAAACTGGGACTCACGTTACTAAAGCTTAACTTCAGAGAATGCCTGTAATTTTCAAACCTTTTAAACAAATAGAGTTGGGATGTTGTGGGACCTTTTCCACCTAGTAAGACTGTTTCCTCCTTCCTCCTTCCAGTGGCCTTTGAGGAGGTGACCCCGTATTGACCCCAAAAGAGCCTGGGATCTTCTGGATTGATGTTTGAGGTCACTGCGTGAGGACCTCCGGCTGGAGATTTCTGGGAATGACGTCTCTCCAGGTAACTTTAATATTTTTTTTTAAAAATGCCTAGTACTTATACAAAGCAATAGCCATTCTCATTACTTACTCCCTCCTCCCACCCCACTCTCTGTCCCATTGCAGACGTGGGATATAAGAGCTTCAAAACATGCTCTTAAAATGTTCACATTTCAACCTGGCTCTCGATGCCCCCAAAAGTAAGAGCCTCAGAGGCTGATATTCGCTTTGCTACTCATCAATATCTATAAAAGGTTCCCCCTCCTCAATAAATAAATTAAAGGCGGAGGGCTGGGGAGCTTTCATTCCTTTGGCTGCCTGAAGGTTTTTTTGGTAATTTTTCCTCTAGTGTGATATTCTGGCCGTCTAACACATAGCTTGTAAAAGGTGTATAAAGTAGATTTGTCTGAGCCCTTCCGTAAAGTGATTTGTAAGGCTAACTCTGGAGATTTGATTACG